TTATCATGTGTACCAGAAAATGCTATTGACTATAATTACCATATCCTGTGTGATGAGATCGAATTAATTGGCTCCCTGAATAATTACACTGAACCGAATGTAAGAGCGTCACTGCAAGTAATTAATTAAACACAGAATTGTTCTTTAAATAAAGACTAAAGTCTAGGATTTTCAGACCTCCAGTTTTACTTGGATTAACAGTATATAAACCTGTATATATTTATTAACGATATATTTTGTATATTTGTTTATAGATATGTTGAATATTTCATCTTATTTATAGTGTATATATAATTATGCATGCAGGTATTTATTGGTGCTATTTCAGTTAAATAGAACATTAATTCGAAATTGACATGCACCACAGTATATATGCTGTTTTCTTGTTTATTTGCATTCCACCTGATGATGGCCCGAACAAGTGTGGTCGAAACATGCGGGAAAATATATTTGTTTTTGTAATAACAAATAATTTAGATTAAATTGTGTATTAATTTTTATTAATTAAATACCACAAGATATATGAGTAAACCAATTAGTTTGTTCAAGCTGACGTCTACTTGTTCTGACTTCACCATTCATGGAATATCAAAGAAAATAGTTGAACGTAGAGTTCTTAGGTGATAAAAAAGAAAGACAGTTTGAAGTAGTTTACTCTTGAGTTTGACAATTATAGGTCTAATCTGTTCTGTACGCTAGCTACTGTATTATTAGTTCAAAACAGTATAAAAACATAGCAATGAAAAAACACCTAGTAGATAACAAACAGTTCAGTTAGTGGTCTAGTTTCACAGATACAATTACGAATTACTCATGTAGGAAATAATTTTGTTCTGATAAACCAAAAGCTAGCATATCACTTTAGAGAAAAGTATTATTGACTACTTGTGCTATTTCCTTATATCGTGTTTTCATTATGCTTAAGAGAACAGAAAATATACGCCTGAGTTATCGAAGTTTGTCCAAAACAAGTAATACTAATTATAGAATACATTAGTCTAACTCTGTTATCCATAATTGGTAAATTGTAAGGTGAAATATCTGTCTTGGACTGAAAATAATTATAATTATATATATATATAAGTAAATAAATAAGTTCTAATATTAAAAATTACATCAGTTGTTTAATGGCGATCAATTCAGTACAATAAACAATGATGTAAGTTAACATAAAAACTAAAACCGAGATTCTAACATCGAAATATACATTTAAGCTACAAAAAACAGTTATCCATTGTCTTTCCTTATTATCATTCATTAGCTCTGTGGTTACAGAACCCAAAAACGTGTTGGGGATATTCCAGCTTTCGGATATGATTCAAACGCAAAGATCAAACTAGGTAGCCGTTACGGAAAATCAGATTAGGGATTAGAAGTGGAGTGGAATGCTTTGACGTACAACGTCTCAATTCATTCAGCCCTTTGCTGTCTGCAGCCAGTTGTGGGAAGGCAATGACTCTTTATATTTTGATATGAAAGGCAGTTGTTAAAACAACCTTATAGTAGCAATAAACCACGCTATATTTCCACATTTGTATGACTCACAATCTCCAACCTTTGAATAATTATTACAAAATTATGGTAATTGGAACTAAAAACCTTAATAGTTGAGTAATAATTAATTAAACACAAATCTTCTCCCTTTGGAAAATGAATGAATAATTTTTCTTTGTCTTTTCTGTTTAATTTCGCGTGGAAAATTTTCCTAGGTATTTTTTTTCTCCCGTACTTGATAAAATATTTTAATCTTAATAAATAGGCAATCTCTCCAAAGCATCTTAGAGCGCATTCACGCCCCCAAATACAGCACAGCGGAATGCGTGAACTATGAACTACCGGATTAATAACAAAAATATAAGAGAACTAGACATTTTTAAAACTTGGACGGCATTTTAAGCACACGTTGACTAATCGGCTAGATCATAGACTTATAGGGCATGGGTTTCCAAACTTTCTTACCACAAGCCCCCTCTCCCAAGAACATTTCGCAAAATGAACTGAGGTTCCATCACCTAATGAATTTACAGGCACTGAGTACCTTAACAGTATTATGTATTTGCTACAGCCCCTCGATTGGGAGTCCCTGCTCTACGATTTATTTATAGTGTTTCTAATGTTTAACAACTGACTAGATGGAGAACAGCCAGCAGTGCCTGGCACAATAATGGTTTGTCCGTCTCTTTTAACAAAGAAAATGGTTCACTGTCGCCTTTATAACCCTCTCACAAATGAACGTGCGGAGCGTGCTCAGCAACATAATGTCTTGAACCTTGGACTGTCAGTTCACTAACCACTGACCCACGCTCAGCCTTGGAAAGAAAAATTTTCAATAACAACGACGTTGAAAACAAATAGTTTACTGAATCAAAAACAATTTACTTCAGTAAAAGTTATTAGCCGTTTTTTTTTGTTTTTATAATTTTCTTATTATGTTGTCGACGAAAATGAAGAAGATTGTAACCAGAAATCGCTGAAAAAACAATATTTTGCTCAATACCCAATTTTAAATAAAAACCGAACAATAAAATGCATATTCCAACCCAGCCGTGAATGTAATTTTAAGCGCCTTTTCTCATACACAAATAGATGTTACATATATTATTTGTATACTTGATTCTCATACGAGTACAGATTTTAATGTGAGGTTTACTAGCTTATGTTAGCTTACACAAACTCGCGTTCCCTTGGGGTTGACGTCTTTAATAACTTTAATTAATACATCTGCTGTTATAGGAAATTTAATTGCATAATTGTGAATTAGAGAAGAACGTGCACAATTAGTTTGGTTAATGATTCCACACTGCTGATCATCGCTTTGCTCGTTTACTTAGACCAATAAATATGATTATAGAATACTACTCAGTCAAGACTTAGATGAGTGAAGGTTTGGCTTCTTAAATGCATTTTATCTAATTCGGGATACTGAGCAGTCTCAAGATAGCTGGCGTGTGGGAAAAATAATGGGGAACATAATGGAATAATCATATACTTAGGAACATTGGAGAATATTGGAGACTAGAGAACAGGGTATTCATGTTGTGATGGATGACACTTCTAATAGAACTGGTGCTTTCAAAAATGATGATAAACTACATTTGAATATCACTTATATTAGTCTAAAGTTTTCCTTGGAAGGAGTAGGACAAAACAAAAGCAATAGTCTGAAAGTTACGTTAGTATAATATATAATTATATGTTTATTTTATCCACCTGTTTATCTGTACATTTCCTATATATACCATTTCTCCGCTGATTGTATGTTTCTCAGGTCACTCCACATTGCAGACTAGATATTAATTTGTTTGTTGTAAAGTATTTTATTGTAGTTTATTTTAACTGTAAAGTATTGCTGTAACACACTTGTATGCTTGTTGCCTGATCAATGTTTTTCAAGAAACACTGTTATAAACAGATTACGCTTTAACAACATTTTTGTATGCAGTATTTAGAGAGTTCAATATGAATAAATAATCGTAGTTTTACTACAGTTCACTTACTCCACTCGAATAAAGATTCATCCTATAGAAAAATCTGACAGAAAAAAAAAGGTCTCTTGTATGAACGTTTTATAATTTCAAGTAGTTTGTCAGGTTTTTCAAACACTGCTCTGCTTCCATGATCACTGGCCAACTGGTTTTACGTGATACAGAGCACGCGAGTTTCTTAATGACTATATGTAGCAGGCTCACAGCATTCACTCAAATTTTCATAGATTAGTTTTGCACGTGATATTAAAGAACTTGACGAGAGGAACTTTACATCATTGAATAATATGTATACTTATTTTTCTCGTGGAAGGCAAGTTTTTTTCGAATTTATTGTGGTTGCTTAGGATGTTTTAATATCAAACCTCAACGACAATGATTGCAAATACTCGACACACTTATTTATATAAAGTCTTTTAATGTGACTTAGTTTCTAGTAACGAAATAAGAGGAATTTTTTTAACTTAGTGTATTTCAACCTGCTCCAGTCAATTGACAGAAATCTGTAAAATGTTGTACAACTAACATTACGACATTGTGGAAAAAGTTTTGGAATTCGAAAGTGCTTCTTTACCAAGGAAGTAATATGCCTTAGTGAGTAAAAAACCGAAGTTGTGAGCGATTTATAGCTATATATATATGAATTTATATTCCTGATGCATTGCTTTGTAAGGGTAAGACAATTATAACTATACTCGAAACAATAATATGGTCTAAATTAACAATCATGTTAATTGAATAAAAACTACAGATCTGAATCGACAATTCGAACCGTTCGACAGTTTATCAGTAGTGTTAGTTGGTATATAATTTTTGTTTTTCATTGTAACTAAATACTGCTATTGTAAGCCTTTCCATTTCACGGTAGTATGTTTCATTTTCTGCAAGTCTATGCGTAGTTATATCTATATATAACTTGAGCTTAAACCATTTTAAGTGATTTTTATATGCGCGAATTTTCACGTCTTAAACAAATAAAATATTTTCAAGATTGTTTCATTTTTTTCTTAAGTGGAACCACACACTGATAGAACAATTCCTAATTTTATCACTGGTTCATACGAAACTTACATCTATAACACAATACTGGGATGAAATACTAAACTAAGTATTTTAGTACAGTAAGATATCTACAAGACTTAGATGTAATTTTAACATAAATAATTTATCGGACGTTTTTCTTTAGTATTATGCCGTTCAATATCACCCAAGAACAGTTGCGATAAAGAAAATTTTTTGTCACTATTTGTATTATTCTTTAAAAAACTTTATTCGACTTCTCTTTTCCACACACATTTGGCTAAAAGGGTTCTGGTTGGGTAAGCCTGTTGTAACATAGTAGTATGGTTAGGTAAAAACCATTCTTAGGGTAGTTTCCTCATTGGTTAGTGTTGCATGTTTGTTTCCTGGTTTCGAATCAGATCTTCGGTAACAGTAAAACATACAATCTGTCCTCTTAAACTAGAGGTAATTTAATATAGTCCTTTATACTTGAAGATTGTCCATCTGTATTTTATTCCATTGTAAAATTAATTAACCAGATAGACATAGTGCTAAAGGTGAGTATTTTATTTCCATACATTCACAACTAGCTATTTTTTGAGATTTTTTTATCAATTTGAACTCCCAGTATTTTATAAACTCTTCATTAAAGATTTTTAAACTTAAAGTTATAATCTAGGTATTCAGAAATGTCGTGTGATTAAGCTCCTAAATATTGCATAAGATAGTTGACGATTGAATTAAGAATAATGTTCCAAATAATGCTATGCCCCCAGTGGTTAAGTGGTAAGTCTGAGGTCTTATATAGCCAAAAACCGCGTTTCGATACCCGTGGTGCAGCACAGATAGCCCATTTGTAGCTTTGTGCTTAATAAAAAACAAACAAAAATAACGCTATTAAGCTGGTTCTTCAACGGGATATTATTTTTAGTTTATATGAGACCTTACATGTTAAGAATGTACGTTCATATTTATTTCGGTCTTAACAGCTCAATGAATATGCAGTTTAATTCCTTAAGCACGTCTTTTAAACCATGTTACTTACATACTAGTTCGATATTTGGTTTCTTTTTATACATATTCGATAGTACCACCAGAATAGCAGCGTTTTTGCTAACAGTTGGACCAGGCTGTGTTTGTACAATTTTTTATTTATGAGGATGTTATTTGATTTATGTAGAGGAGCATCAGAATCACTAAGCCTCTTAAAATCAAACTTGGCTAAACAATTTAATATGCACAATAAAAATATTAATAGTTAAGTAGATTTAATGTAAACAGCCTATATAAACGCCAATAGGTAGACGTATACTATATTTCAACAGTCCTTGTGGTTGTACAAGTATAAATTGCAAGGCTTTGACAATAGTATAATCTCAATCTCCCTTTTTCACTCTGTGTAATTATTACAGTTAATTTTATGAAAATAGTTATTTAAGTGAGTCAACCAATCAAGTTATTCTCTTCCTCTCCGTTCATAATAATTATAGCCCACATTCTGGGATAGTAAGATCATGAAAACGGATATTATTTGTATGTTTATATAAACATATAAAAAATGTGAAATATGCCTCAATAATAGTCAGTAAGTGTAAGTAACTGCATAATACGGCCTGAATTTTATCATTTACATATGCTTATTACTTATTAGTATAAATACACGATGATAAGATTATACCAATGTTGTCATTCAAGTAGACGCTTTACCAGATACTTCTTCGTAGCTCAATTTCATAGAGATGTTGAAAAAATATCGTTAATAATATTAGAATTGATTATAAGCACGTTTTTGTGATGTAAAATAACAAGTTTTATCCGGTTGCATGTCATGTTTCTTGTTTTATTTTTTCTATTTTTAAAGCGTTTTCCGTAGCGAACGAGGGCTGGACCTGGCTAAATGATTATGTTGCTCGCATTTTCAAGTGTTACAATAAAATCCCACTATTCGTTCAGACAAGAGTCGAACATGAATAGTGGTAAGGGCTGTCGACTAGCCGCATTTCTCTCTAGTCATTCATTTCAAAATTATTGGCGCATATGTGTAGATAATCCTTAGTGTAGCTTTGCGCGAGATTCTGAAACAAAAAACAAACGAGGAAACAATAGCAAATAAATTAGTTCTTTTAACAGGTTTAAATGAGAATGCATCAACGAAGAAGTAGCTGGCCTATGAAATTGGTTTTAGGCGGAAAAGGCAACAAATAAGTAATAATTGTAGAATTAACATGAATAAACTTACATCCAAAAATATTCTACTTTGGATAACTTACTTTGAAGTTAATTCACGCATGAATAGCTTAGTCCAAGTAATAATGTTTCATAAAACCTTATCTGACAAAGGTGTCAAAAATACGCTTTACAATGGCCAGAGGAAAGTATTTCAGAAATGCGGTAACAAAGTCAATTATTATAAGAGGTATAAAAATATGCTTAGAAAAAACAATGAATTGCGGGTTTCTATACTCTATACTTATACAAACGTTTTCAAACTGGGGTCATGGACTCCTAGGCGTCGCAGGAAAGTGTGAGGGGGCATAGCAAATACAAAAAAAAACAACAAAACACAATAGTATTACAGTTTTCAGTTTTTTTATAGATTCATTCAGCGTGGGGTCTCATTCAGGATGTTGAATGTTCTGGGGAACTTTGCGCTGAGAAAGTTTAGGAATCCCTGTCCTAATAGATTATATGCCCAACTCACAATAAGCAAAACAAAATGTACATAGGATTCATATTTTATAGAAATATTTATGCACTTTTGCATAGATGTACTCAATCATTGTGAATTTATATTACCATCAGAACTATGATGGAGTTTTAGTGAACATAGTATTTCGATTAAAACATAACTTTATTGTCATACTGCTATAGCATCGTCTGAATTGCTTATAACTTTCTGTCAGCTAGAATCAAATCTTGAAACAGGTACCACGACTAGATTATTTAGAATAGTTCACGGTGTCTTCCTTAATTACTTACAACTGTCAGAAACCATCATGACTAAAGTCACCTCAGAATTTTGCTGTACAATATTTTCATCCTGCTCAACTTCAGGCATGTTTCATGACTACATTGTTTAGTCTAGCTCCCTGAGGCTGCACTCTGAGTCTATGAACCAATTTATCAAGAGAGCTGTATTTTTCAAGATTGCTCGACCCAAAAGCTAGAAAAGTTTTGGTTATGCCATAAGTTGAATACGCCCCCAGAATCTATAAGAAGGGTGGTTTCCAGAATCAAATGTGGCACAGTTTTTACTGTAACAGTTTTTTTTTTGCTGATGCACCCAATGTAAACGCAAAAGTTACTTCTCAATTTTGGATGAACAAAACAAAATGTTTATTATATGTACTTTCTTTTTTCACATCATGTCGAAAAGCATAAACATATAACAAATTTATAAGTGCTAAATATTTTCGTAATGTCCATTTTTTCCCACATATTTATCACAAGATAATGCTTTAACGTGACCATCGTTTTGTCAAGACTGTCCCTACACTGCTGTTGTCGGAGAAAGTTGTGTAGAATAGCATTTTACCAAATCTGGAGAAAGAGGAAGATGTGGCAGTAGACAAATGCAGGAAATCAGAAATCCAGTTAGTGTCACTACATCTCAAAACAGAGACAAAAGATGTTACCTGACCCTCAGAATAAAGTTAACTAAAGTTAGACTAAGCAGTGATTGAAAAACTTGAGGAAGGTTGGAGTATTTAAAGATCCCAAGAAAGCTATGTCTGTGACAAATAGCTTCAAGAATCTGATCACTAATATACATATTCTCGAATACTTCTACGTATTTGGTATGTTAAGGAAATCCTAAATGTAGCTGGAGTTATAATTTGGAATATTCACTATGATGTAGCACCAATATGTCCAAGGTACTGTTTTCTTCTGGGCGTTGAAGAATGCTACTACAAAACAGGTATAAAGCAGAGGAAATGCTATATTCTAATACATTAGGTTGCACAAAAAAGTTGTCATGACATTACATGTTGCTGAATTTATCAGTTTTTCATGCATTAAGTAGTTGTGTTTCTAGCAGTCCATTCAATGGATTAGGACAACAAAATAGTTGAAAATGGTTGTACATCATTCCGAAACTATCAAGGCATCAAGAGCAGAAGTGAAAACACTTCTGATATTCGTAATAAAGCTTTCTATGCCTATACAAAGTTGGTGTGTCTCTTGTATGATAGTCACAAACAAACAAGTTCGGACTGTTTGTTTTGTAAAAATAGCTGTACATGTGATGAAGAAATTTTTCTCAGAATCCTCGAGCTCTTTAGATGATGATGATGAGTGCTTAAGAAATGTTAGAGGACATGTTTTATATTCAAATTCCTGTCTAATTACATTTACTGTCAAAAGAGGGGGCCATTTTCTACATCTAATCATCCTCAAAATATCATAATTATGTAGCACACCTCTTCTTTATGTTTTCTATCTTGTAGAAAAATAGAGGTGTTTCTTTGTAACCATTATAAATATAGAATGGGCAGCTGCTTTGTGTAACCTGTTACAAAGGCACATTTAAAGTATATTGTGAACATTTGATAATACCGGTATAACCTTTTAAGCGATCAAATTATAAGCGTTGAAAAACGCCATTTATATGGTTCTATGGGACATTATTTTCAACATTATGAGTCAAACTTTTTTATTTGTGTTCTTTGATGCCTTTTACCAAAGTCTGCGCAATAAGTGTTGTGTTGTTTTTTGTAAATGTCAATAAAAGTAACCTGTTTGCAAGGAAAGCATGATGAAATATTGTCACACTGAAGACTTTTACCATATTTAGCTTTGGTAACCACCCGTCTGATAGACCCTAATAGCCAACACAAGATACAACCAAAACGTTCTAGCTTTCCGGCTGAGCATTCTGCTCCAAATGGCTACAAGATATCTGGACCATCTATCTTACTATTCACATCTCTTTGAAGGCATTATGGCTATGATCACTTTTTTGCTGTGTATATATTGTCTCTGCCCAAATTCAAAGCAAGAAGCAGGACTAGCTTGTTTATTATAGTTTTTTTTTCTTTCTCTAATTGCTCGTAACTATCAGCAAGCATCATGAGTAGATAGTCTACCATCTATCGTTGTAGCATCATTGTGTCTCTGCTTAACAATTTTAATCACGCACTTTGAATAACTTTCTTATTTTAATTTGTTGAAATAGCGTTCTTTTTACTTAACTATTCATATGTTTCAGCAAAAATCATAAACTTGCCTGGTTAGCTAAGATCGTTATGTCAAAATTCAGCGACTGCTTATTATTAATTTGTTTAGTCTAGCAGTCTATGGAAGCATTCTGTTTCTGTTCAACTGTCATTAGGTACCATAACGTGTCTGTTTAACCTAGAATGTTGTGGCGAGTTTGGCATCTACTTAAACGTTTCAAGAGTTTTAACCAAGCATCATGACTAGTATGTTTAGTGTATTTGATTGTGATATAATTCTGTTTTTGCTGAACTATTTACAGTTTTCAGTGCCTATTACGACAAGTTAGCTTTGTGTAATTAGTTTACAGCTTAATTTTGTCTCTAGTTAATTGTTTACA